ATTACTTTCGGTGTTAAAGTGATTCTTATTCTTTTTTATAATTAATTTTTATTCAAAAAATATTACAATAAATATAAATATAAAATACTTTTTCCTTAGAATCCTTCATGAATCTAAATTCTGTTAGGTAAAAATCTTGCATTGCTTTTCAAATGTTTATAATGTTTCTTCGAAAAAAAACAAGGTTTTCAGAGATGTTTTAGTAATTAAAACTAATGTTCAAATTATTGTTGAAAAATTATTTTCTTGCCACCAATGGGTTTACTTAAGCATGGCTTTAAACACAGCGCAGTTTAATAACATTTGCAGTAAAAACTACACTAACTTAAAATAACGTATAGTTTTAAACTTAATACTAACATTTAAATGTCCATGAACGATTTTTGGTCGATATAATTCATACATTCATATCTTTGAAGAAAAATTTTGAAACAGCGAAGTGATTTGGTTAAAAGAGTAAAAAAAACAATCAAAATCTAAAATACTTTTTAATTACATTCATTTGTTTTATAAAGAATTCTTTTCAAAGTCAATAGTACAAAGTACACGAAATGCGATAGTAAAGTTAACCTATCGATGGAGTAAATTTTTTGCTTTTATTTATTATAAGTTTATTTATGCAGCACCATGCCTTAATAATTAAAAGCTTTTATATACACACAATTATATGAAATGAATAGAACCTTGTGCGAACGAGTCCGCATTGCTTGGCCTTTGTTCAGTTGTGGGGTTCATGTTGTTTCGACGCGTCTAACTCTTGACAAATGAACCAATGAACAAATATTACTCTTGACATCAGCAGTTAAATAAATAAAGTAAAACAAACAATGCTTTAGCGACAATAAATGTTTGCATTTATAGATTCTCTTGTAAAGGGAATCGAAACAATAAAAAGAGAATTATATTAAAAAAAATATATATATTTTTGAATCGGTTAACTATAAATTCTGAATTGTAATTAATAATAAAATTGTGATGTTTCTTTTTCCCTTTATTATTATACAATCGAAATTTATTTTTCAAATTCGTTCTACATCTAATATGTAACTCTGAATTTACAGCCTCACACGCTATACCTCGATTAACTAGACTATCAAAATAAATACTTCTGGTTAACTGTCACCACAGTGATCTTACTCAATGCTGGGATTCGTATTTAAATAATAATTCTTCAAAAAAAATTATTTCTAAGCCTGATTCGTGATTCTGATTTTTCTATGAGTAACTATTTAATTTGAATTCTTCATATATAGTCTTTCAGTAACAAAGAAAAACTGTTCTACTTATCCTTAATCTTATTTTTTAAAAGAAATTAAATATGGATTGGATGTTTTATGCTTTATGTGTGCATTTTTTTCGCTTTCATTAAAAAAAATTTATGATACAAAAATATCACCATTCGAAAAAAAAAATGTTTTACAACACATCAAAAGTAACAAACCCTTTAAGGTGAGAACATTTTCAAATAATAAATGGAGTATATTGAAAAATTAAAATATTTTTAGTTTTTCTAAAGTGGAATTATAATACATTTTTATTCCTTACATTCATTAAATGATGCTCTCATGTTTATCAGCATGCTTTATATCATTTGCATACTAGATTTATTTCGTATTCATAATTGGAATATTGTTAGTAAAATATTGGTATTTGTTTGGTTTGATAGAAATCCCTTTAATAACAAATCATGGATTATTACATTTTTCTATAATATATTTGGACAAACATTTTCACTTTATAAAAAATTCTTCAAACTTTACGACACGTAAATTTAAATATCAAGTGATATTCTTTAAAATATTAGGATTACATATTCTACTTAACTGTAATAAAATTTTAAAGCATTATTGATTTTTGTGATGATGAAATTTTAATAGACTTTATCAAATTTGTAAACATAAATATATTTATATTAAAAATTTGTTCAGAAAATAAATTAAGAAAATCCTTTTAATAGTGTTATTAATGGGAATAAATTCTCAAAATATATATCTAATGATTGGTATGTGACTTGAAAATCTATAGGATACAGACATGCAATATTGCTGACAAAATATTCTTCTAAATTATTTGAATTCACTATTTGAAACAAATCAGTTTCTAGCCTTGCTTTAAAATAATGATTGAAGTTTGTAACAAGCTTTAACCCCGAAGCACTTAAAACTCTTCTCGTCGTTTATCATTAAAATTTCAAACGGAACAGCATTTCCATTAATTAATTGTTATTTCACTAAGAACTTTACAACAAAAGAATATTTCAATAAATGATATGCTGAAAAGATGCTTTTTTTAAATTTTTAAAGTATGCTTATGTTCTTAAATTATTCATTTTGCATGAAATGTTTTTTAAACTGTATTGATCTAAGTTCAATTCAAAAAAATAATCCTTCCGGCAAGCTATTTGTACTTTATTACTTTCTTCTTTGAAACAATTTTTAAGATTCAAAATGTCTTAAGCTTTTTTTTATTTATGAAGATCGCAAAATATTGAAAAAGGATGGTAAAGCTACGTTAGCTATTTTTAAGTTCTAAATTATTCTTGTTAAAACGCATAGAATAAAATAATGCGAATTTTTTTTTTAATTCTTAAGATCATAAGATATTGCATAAGTATGGTTAAGATACATTAGCGATTTTTGAGTGATAAATTATTCCTGTTAAAACACATAGATAGAAGTAATGCGACTAAATTTTTCAATTAAATTTAATCGCATCAGTAAATTTTATTTCATTAAATAAAACATATATATCAAAATCATTAAAAACTAAATGTCATAATTAAACGATTTCAACTTTTATGTAGTTCAATAAAATACAGACTTAACTGTCTTAACTTATACTGACAATTTTCGAAAATTTAAATCTGAAAATCAAAAAAGATTTGAAATTTTTTTTTACAGCAATATTATGCGACAGGATATAAATTGTTTCTTCAAGAAATTTTGCGTTAAGTTATGAAATATTCCAATAGGTGCCACTGCAAAGCTCTTCAACTATTTTTGCAGTTGCATAGTGGTGTGTGTTGGGTTGCTTTTATGAAACATTTGTGGTTAGAATAGTTCTGAGTAATCAAATGATGTTCGAGTGATCAAATGTAAGCGGGTCCATAATATTTATGCATCGCCATTTCGCAAGCTTTATAATGCGATTTTCCTTTATTAAAAGATTTCGAAAATTTCAAATTTGCAGTTTTCAAGCATTTTTCATTGGCTTAGACGTTAGACCATTTGCAGCTTTATCTGCTGAAAAGAGTTTGAACTAAAAACCAGGAATTCTAAGAACAAATCGTTATGCGGTGCCCCATGATTTTGCTGCAAGAATTTTTATTCTAAAACAAGAAAACTGTAAAAAATTTTGAAGCGGTTAGTCTAATCTAATTTAAAACACCCTATAATATATTAATAACAGTTTGATATTTCTATAGCAATATATTTTTATAAATTTAATCTAAAAATTTAATTTAAAACAATAATTTCATACATTTTTAGGCTTTAATACATCAAAGAACAAAGTGGTAAAAAGTATCAGAAAATTAGTGAGCATAATCATGCTAGTGATACAAATAAGCTATATTTCCAATGTTTTTTTTTTTTTTTTTTTTTTTTTTTTTTTTTTTTTTTTTTTTTTTTTTTTTTTTNTTTTTTTTTTTGTTTCTTTTAATATTTTAGGTCTGCGTATAAAGTCGAACAAAAATACAAACTTTTCAACAAATTTAAAAAACATGTGTCTCAGAGCACGAATTTACAGATAGACAATGCCTTTTAGATAGAATTTCAGATAGAATTAGATGTGTCCTAAACTATTTGTTCACTTGCGAGCCGATTTAAAATCCACATTTCCAAAATTCGAATGCTGTTGACATGAATATTTACTAAAATACTAAAACTAATTACAAAAAGTTCAATGGCTATTTGATCTCCATTTTTTTGCAAAATTTTAACCAAAGAAAATTAGACTTCTTTTTAATAATATTCTATAACTTTTAAGTTTTCAAAAAAAAAAATTTTTATTAAATTGCAAAATAAGCACTCTTATACACTTTATTACAAACTTAAAATTTTCGTTATCTTCAATTTTTCGTTAAAATTTAAGCTTCAACTTGCATTTTAAACAAAATATTCCAATTGATATCTTCAGTTATAAAAAATAGTCATATTACTAATGGTTGGTAAGTATAATATATGTTAACAAAAAGTATGCAGATGATATAAATAAGAAATGGGTAATTGCTAGAAAAATATGCTTAATATTTTTTGCATTTTATAACTCAATCTACCATAATTATACTAAAGAATCTTTAAGAATACAAATCATTCTTATCAATCTAATCTAATCATTTGAAATTGCAATTCAATTAACGAGTCCAAAACCAAGTCATCTCCAAAGGAAAGTTACCAAACTCTGTAAACCTTCTACTATATCTATAGAACAGTTTGCATCTCAAAAAGCGTTTTCATGTGACTAATGTTGTTTAAAAATAATAGTTTAAATAGCAAAACAAAATTCGCTGATTTTGGAATTTTATCACTATTATTATTATTAAATGAGGCATAGGAAGACGCTTTTCGGGTGATAAATTGTTGGAACTATAAGGAGTTAGTGAAATAAGCAAATTTTACATGCTGGATTTACGTAGTTAATGCATAGTTTGATTGTTTACTTCTTTTAATATTAGAAAACAGTAGGCTTAACCTTTCCGGAACGCAGGTCAAAAACTGTCTCCCCAGTATCAGTTCATTTTATGGTATTACAACTACCACCAATGACACAATTATGCTTAAAATAGAGAGATAAATACAACTTAAGTAATAACTGCTATCTAAATTCAATATATATCAGCAAAAATATTTAAATTTGGTAATTTACTCTCAGAAAATATACCCATTTCTTAAAAAATTCCTTTGGAATATATTGACTAAGCACCCCAGTGTTTGCATGACTTCGTTTGATTATCTTGGATTTCTTTTTTTTTCCCTCCACTTCAACGTTTACCCCATCAGGAAGATTCCTATATCCAGGTGCAAGCAATAGCTCTTCATTGTGTGGAAAAAATTATAGATAAATTGGAAAAGACAAATATATTGGACGAGGTCTTGCCAATGCTCGGAAAAGCCAAGCTTCAAGATCCAGCCATTCTCATGCCGGTCGTAAGTAAGTGGGAAAGTTTTATATTTTTTAGTTCCTTAAAGAAAAATCATGGGAAAAAATTTTTGAAATTATTAAATTAAATTTACATTATTACCAAACAACCTATTTCGTAGTAACTCCTATTTTTCACGTTTATAATAAAACATGCGTATTATTTAATTTCCTGGTAAAAACTCTCAAAAATAATACTTATTTCTCGTATATGAAGTTAAAGTAACTATAAATTCCACTTTTTAAAAGTAGAAATATGCCCTTTTTTTCGTCATTCCTAAATTTTTAAGTTCAAAAATATATTTTATTAAATTGGTTTTTGTAAGCTGGAGCAACACAGAACGTGAATAAGCACAAATGAAAGTACAGAAACAGACTTACTATAGTTTCGATCCTATAAACAAGAACATTCCTCAGTGTCTAAACGCCAAAAAGGTGATGTATAATAAAAAAGGTGATCTTGTCCAAACTTGTTCCTCTGTCCCTATTGGTTAAAACACTTCGCACGCATTTGTCTCTTTATTTCCCTATCATCAGTTGGTTTTTAGACACTGAGGAAGATTCTTGTTAAACCGAAACTTAATATCCATTTCTGTACTATCATTTGTGCTTAATTCACGTTTTTCATTTTTATATTTTTTTATTTTTTTGCTTTAGTCGTTATATAGCACTACGTATACTCTATCCTTCTTGGATAGTTTTTGCAAGGCCATCATTAACGAACCAACCTATAAACGTTGAATCATCATAGAATATGATTAAAAATGTCTAATTTTCAAATGAAGTCTTCAAAAAAAAATGTTAGTTATGTTTGTTAAATGGAAAATTCGTACTATATTTATTTTATAATGGTATCTTAACATTTAAGTGCAAGAAAAGGAGAGCAAATTGCAATTTCATCTTTGTTACGTAAAAGACTGGATATACTTAGATTTACAAGGAAAGTTCACATACTGACATACGCTAAGTAAAACAGTTTTTGATTTACAGAGAAACGTACCATACATATTTTCTAAAAAAAATTGTATTGTTAATTTATCGATTGTATTGTTTTAACAAAAATTGTATTATTACTAAAAATATGACTGACTGGTTCAGCAGTGCTTTAATGAATTTTCTTTTTAAGTATGGTAAGTAAGAACTAAAAATTAAAAAAAAAAAAAAAAAAAAATTNAAAACTAAAAAAAAAAAAAAAAAAAAGAGTCCAATATGTTCTGTTTTATATTTCTCGATAAAAAAATTTCTGGAACTAAAGAACTATCTTACGTTGCAGGAATATATAAGCATATGTTAGGAGAGAAGAAATATGGTTTAACTGTTAATTTACTGGCTACTAAAGTAATGCCTGGACTTATTCCTATTGTCGTCAGTCCCGGTCTAAAGCTTGATCAGGTAAAACTCTTAAATAACTCAATTTTTGGTATTTTTTAATGTTTAGTATTAGTGAATAAGACTCCCGGTGGCTGAGTGGTAGCACTTCGTGCGCTCGTGCCGCAGGACCATGGTTCGATCCTCGAGCCGGGAAAGGTTGAGTCAGCCTTTCATCGCTTTAGTGAGTCGATAAAACGAGTGCCAAGCATTCTTAGGGACTAAGCATTGGTGACTCAATGTTAGGCTGACCATCCAAGCGGAACCGCTGCCTTTGTACCCCAGAGCCCAAGATCAAGTAAACTGTAATGGGCACAGTAGGCCTTGACCCTCAATGGGCTGTCGTATCACTTAGTTTAGTTTATTAGTGAATTAAAATCAAATTTGTGTGGCTAGATGAGGAAATGTTACCAAGATAAAGCGGAATAAATTTCATTTTCTAATTTCGTTTGTAAGAGAGTACACACCTGCAATTATGTACTAAGTTATAGTAAGTTTAGTATAATTGTACATTGACGAAACAGAATAACTGCTGCTCCTACCTACTATAGTGTACGCAGAAGTGCCGCAACACGGTATTGCCTGACCGAGTTTGATTTTTGAAAGTAGGGTATAGGAAATTCACCATGACTCCTGCAGGGGAGTTAACAAATCTATATTAGTGCGAGTTGGTGGATATTTAATCTGAACAGTATGCTGAAAGGCGTATACTCAATAATATTCTTATCTGGTTATCAAGGAAACCATTGGAAGTATCTATAACTAAGTGCTCTTGAAGCCACTCGTTAGAAGCTCTAGACGGGTGGGGTGTCGCATTATCCTGCTGGAATTATGCAAGTCAATAGAAATTAAAAAATAGTGCGTGGAGTCCCTCCGCGCGAAAAAAGTGAAACTTCGTAATGTGGAAATGAAAATAGGAAGGGGTAGAAATTAATTTTTAGTGAAATCATTTGCTTCTTTAAGGCAAACTTTATTAACAATGCTTACAATTCACAATTGATCGCATCTTTTAATTATCATTTTCGAGTGGAGAAATATCCAAATCTATAACATTTACAATGGGATTATGATAACTAAAGTAAGATACGAAATGTTTGAGTTCTATTTTTTCAATACATCTTGCAGAAACTGCATCAATGGAAGTTCCCCCTTTGGTTGTTGGATCATTCCTACCATTTATCATTTCCAATCCAAATTTGCCTATAAGGAAGGTTAATAATGTTTCAGCTTCAGGTAACGAGAAATTCACATTAAAATCTCCTGCAAGGATCACAGGCCGCTCACAATAATCAGTTTCTTCACCAATAACGTCTGCCAGAGCTTGTGAACCTGCAATGGATAGTGGCAATAAAGATGTTCCGTTATCAATAAACAGTTAGTTTGAATAATTGTTTTAAATCGTCTGCTGATGTAATAACTGCAACTCTAGCTGGTTGCTAGGCAACCAAACGACTTTTTCTTGTTATTAATGTTTTGTTTTGTTTATCGTTGCGTTACACGTTTAACGCAACCTTGTTGGAAGTCACTTTCGAAGTTTCACTTCAAAAAGGAAAATGAATAGGTGCAAATAATTGGATATGTTTATTACATGTATTTAGTCTGTCATAGCTTTATCTAGACAAATCAGGAGTTCCATATCAAGCTGATTGCACGTGCCTCATAGCATGATAGTTTGAACAGTTACCCCGTTGACATGATGGTTCCTTGTATTCACGAGGTTGCCTCGATACTCTTTAACGTCCATCCTCAAGGGGCAACTCAAAAGGAGACTCGTCAAACAGTGGAGAGAGTTCTACCTTCAAAATCCGTATAAATGAAATCTCGCTGAGTAGTGCGCATGCGGATCTATCACAAACTGCCATTTTTCGATAACTTTTGGAACTATTTTTTTTTCTGTTACAATACTTTGTCTCCCTTCTTTGTGAATATCCATGTCAAATTTTTCACTATTGGTTTTTTTTTTAGCTTCTTAAAGGTCTTACTTTAAATCAGTATTTTTTAAAAACTTAATCTTGCTGAGAAAGTCATTTTCAAATGTACTTATTAACTAAAAATATTAAGCTTTGAAATAGGCTGAGAGAAAGGGATTAAAAGGAAATACAGTCGGACCTCTGTTTAACGAAGACGCTAAATCTCGAAAATAAGTTCGTTACGTGGAAAATTCGCTAAATAGAAAATCCCCTTTTGAAATACTTAAACAAAACAAAACAGGTTTTAAATTCATAAACACTAGACATAATTAAAATAGCAATTGATACACCTTATCTTGTAAACTAGTATCTACTATTTATTTTGTAAATCATAACCGTAAAAGAAATCTGCATAAAAAGCAAGAATAGAGCAAAACATTATCCAGTGTTAGACTATCATAATGCATACATTTTCAACTAAAAAAAGCTAAATTTATGTATAAAATTATAGCTACATTTATTATAAAAGTACTTTTAAACATACATTACCACATGCGTTCATAAGTTTAATTGCTACTGAAAAAATCCCATAATTATGTCTGAGTTCTTGGTTTGGAATGCGAACAAAAAGGGATTTTACTGCTTTCTCTAAAATTAAAGTGGCTTTAAAAATCAGTTAGAGGTCATTTCCCCCATAAAATGCGTCAACAAATTTGAAATGTTCTAAAATATTTTGGTAAATAGGGAAAGTAGATCTGAAAGAAAAGTTCGTTAAATAAAAAATTCACTTCACTATTTGGAAGTTATGTTACGAAAAAACTTCCGAAATGTTCGTTAAATAAGATTTCCGACTGTAAACCGTCAACACAGCATATCTAAAAGTTACGAAATCAAAAGAAGTAGTAGCAAGAAGTAATAAAAGATTTTGCTAAGACTGAGTAATGAATTTATGATTTGGCTAGAGAGGTGTTAAATACTGAGAAAGTCACATTTTTTCTTTAATATTAGCTTAAAAAATTCCAATTGTGGAAATAAATAACGACTCTCTTAAAAAATTAAAAATATTGCTGGAAACCTCGAACCATCTTGGATATTTGTGCAAATGTATTGCAATTAAAGAAAGAACATATGTTTATATAGCTTGGTTTCTGCTACAAATGTTTTCAAAAGAAATTTACTGGGTGGTTTAATGAAAAAAAAATTTTATTATATTAGCTGAAATATTTTATGCCTATTTTGACCCGACATACACTGTTGCACAACTTAAAGTAGGAAGTACTTTTTTTTAATTTAGTTAATATCTGGAATTATTTTTTACAAATAGAAAGAATAATATAAATTTTTATAATTCGTAAAATTTAAAATACCTTGTATAGGTCACAAAAAAATTTCTAGTATCAAAAATGAGATTTCGCTTTAAAAAGACCACCGTCTCCTTAAATTTTGGGCACATGATTAATTATTACTTCAGATCTATTTTTGAAGAATTAATTTTTTTCAGCCATGATGTGTCAATTTTTTAATTAGTATTATAATTTAATTAGTCTTATAATTTAATCCGTGATACAACTCTGATAAGCATAGATCTCGTTTTAATCTTGTCAAAAATGCTTTGGCTGACACTGTATGAAAAAAACCATGAAGTAAATTCAATTTATGACAATTTGTATACGAAGTTCAATTTTTAAAATATAACTTTACACAAGAGATTTCATTAGCAGTATTAAGTAATCCGTTTATACTCCTACAGTGGACTGATCGTCAAGACGCGGTTTCCAATAGAATACCGAATGCAAGCATCAATGGCTGCGCTCAGTGTGCGGGTGGGTTACCACTTTGTTCAGCCCGCAAAGGAACCGGGGGTGTACGGTATCGGTCCTCATTAAACTGTTCTACCGGAAAGTGCTCGAATTCGAGAGCAGGACGTCGGGCTACCGAAGCAGGGGAGCCATCCTCTCTGCTGAAGATCAAAATTGTGATGGCATGTCTTCGGATCATCCTCAGAGATGTTTCCCAGACCGTCGTCAATAGCCCATTGTGCAGCTCTAGTGCTACGCAAATTAACAACATAATCAGTTTATAAGTTGTGTATTCTTTTTCAGTTTACTAGCTTAGTGGAGTTGCTGAGAGAAATGTTAGATCATGTGGCACGAAATCAAAGAAATAAGCTCAAATTAGAAAAGCTGTCTTCTACAGAAATGTGAGTATACTCAGGCTTAGAGGTAAACATTTTAACTCCTGACTAAATTATTTCGGCATTTACCTTGTCACGCATATGTTTCTTCAGTGTGACCGTACTTTCTTAGAATTTTCTCTTTCTAATTGGAGAGGTTTTTAATAACTTATAGAATTATATTTTCTGTAAAATATGTATTTCCACACCTTAAAAAACCATTATTCTTTTCATTAAAATTCTAATAATAGTCTACGATATATGACACTGAAAAAATCGCGCATTTATTTTATAAAAAAAATTGATGGCCGTAGAATTGCATTTGTAAGATACTTTTCAATATTTTCGAATCACTTAAACAACTTCATAGTTGTAGAAAATATATTTGGTATTTAATATACATCGTATTTGGCTTACTATGATTATTGATGAATTTGAACTCAAAACAACAAAAGAACAACAAAATGTGACAGCAAAAAAGAGAGCATTCATAAGAAATTTTGTTGCCATTTATACATTGGAAAGAAATACAATAATTTCAATCCACATTTTATTATATTATGTTTTTCAGAACCAGTTGTTCTTTTTTTTTTAAGACCAGACAGGGTTGGATACCAAGAGATGAAATTTTTTTCCGAGAAACGATTCGACGCGTGTTTTTTATTGCTTTTCTGCAAAACAAATTATCTAAAATTGAAGGTCAAATATTTTTTTAAAAAACATATTAGCAAAAAGAAAAATGAAGACAGGAATTATGATAATAATTCTTATAATAATGAAATGAGTTCGAACCAGGGGCAGACGAAATTTTTTTACTGCTTTTGCAATATCATAATCAAATAATAGAATTTAAATCATCAAGTTGATGTAATTGAATGTTGACAAAATCTATTTTGAATGAAACATAATTATACTTAAATTAATAGGTTATGCTATTTAATTAAAGTGATATTACACCTCGTATTGACTAGTCACCGTTGAGATTCGAGCCTGGGTCACTCATTTATTGTGAGGAGAATGCTCTGTTCCCAAACCTACCTTGGCCCTAGAGTTTTATTACTTTATATTCAACGTTGAACAGCTGACCCAATTCTGAGTTTACGACTATCAATGTTTAACTCCATTGCCTAGCAATTTTAAACCCAACTCAGAAGACAAAGGAGCTCCTGGATCAAGCATTGAACAAACTAGCCTTTGAGGAGTACTTTTTGATGGAATTAAACCCACATTTGCGTTACATGCATTCTCGCTACGATTCGCCCGAAGGTAAGGGAATTCTAACCTATGATTCATCTATCACTGAAGATATTTTACATCAGCTCTGTGCGAGTCGAAAGAAGAATTCTTACCAAGCCAGCCACCGCTGGGATTCGAATCTGGATCACCTCCTAATGAAGTGAACTCTCTATCAGAGTTTTATTCCGAAAAAAAAGTCAGAAGCTGTATTTACCTTAAAAGTCTTGCGTCATTATTCATATTTAGTTGCAAAAAGGTTTAATATGATAGCGGCTCAACATTCGTAATAACTTATCAAAAAACTACATCTAAAGAAAGATGCTGATCAGGTAGAGTATGAATTTGACTAAGTCAAATAACATTTTTATTGATACAATGTTCAAAACCATTAAATAATACACAACACAAACAGATAGAGCCTCTTAACTGTTTGCGTTTGAATATTTCCTCATATGTAACGTGATCTCCGAAGCGAGAAAAGAAGCTTAACCAGTTTTATTATGTAAAAAACTCTTTTTGTATGATGTTTGAGAAAGGGAAAACCTCATCGCCGCTTCAGAACCAGTTTTTGTTTGCATTCAGAATAAAAAAGAGGATTTTACGAGGAAGGTTTACGCTTCGGCTTTATGATAGGTTAACTGTTAACTTGGCTACGTCACAAAATGAAAATTTGACTGGTTGTTCATTGCTGAAAAGTAAGTGCAAGTGCTAAAAATAACCGTAAAATATTTGAGAAAGCGTGAAGTTAAAGTATAGTAATCAAAACTGCAAGAGAAGAGGCTAGAATTTTAACAAACGAACGTTAAACGTTTAATCCTTTTACGATTTAAGTGAAAAGCCGTTTTCTCAAAATAAAAACAACTCTAAACCGTCGTATACACGGAGAAATACAAGGAAACAATGGATATTTTTTACAGTAATAATTAACAAACAACTATAGATTTAAGAAAATTAAAAACACCAATCTCTCTCTGTTAAAATAAATAATTCTTTTGCGTATACCCAAAGGCAGAAAGTATTTTTTTTTTTATTTCTCTTATTTTCGATTTAATAGTACAGTTTGATTTAAGAATCACCCTAGTGGAGTTTTGAGAACTTCACTGCAGTTTTTAACTTAATACAAATTTTTAGCATTTTGTACAAGTAATTTGATTTTATTTGAGCATTCACGTCATACTTTCGTGATTGTTTTTGTGTAAACACCGACAACTTTTATGTGTACCGCATTCTTAGACAAGTAAGTAAAACTGGGTTACCTATGTTTTCCTCTGGATTTTTATAACATATTTTCTAATTTTTATTTAAATATGTATGTTTCTATTTCTCGAACAGTATTCCTACAACTTTTGCGTCTGCAGCAGAACAATCTGCAAGTTATCCCCACAGACCTCCAACACTTCGTCTGGAATCCAGGCGACAGAGTATTTCAGTAGATGACGTTGCTCGCCGCTCATCCGGAGCAAATAATGGATCAGGTATATTAGCAATCAGATAGCAGTAGTAAACTCAGGACAGCTTTTCCTTTTTTACTTGCACGGCTTTAGAATAGCGACATTTTTAAAGTTCTTTGAAGTTCTTTCCTACTCCTATAGATGCACGGCATTTTGCTTCTATTTAGAAGTCAACACGCTGATTAATCTAAATGATACTTCGTTCTTTAGATGAGATTGATTTTCTGAAATAGAATTAATTTATTTGAAAGCTCTACGGAAGAAAGAATAAATTTATTTAAGTGCACGGTTGTTCATAATTTATATTCCTATTTGCAATATTCTGTAGAGACAATTCATATTCAAGGGGTACAAATATTAAATTGTAAGAGGGTTATTTACATTTTAAAAGTGTTTTTAAAAAATAGACGATAGCTGAAATCGAGGCTCTATGTTGTTGAAAGAGTCCAGACTTTTGATAATTTAAACAACGGACATTTAAAAAAAACATATTAGGATTGAATATATAATTTAACGGTAAAAATTCCAAATGCTTATATTGCAGGTCAAGACTGAATTTACAATTTAATGGCACAGGCATTTAATGGCATTTAAATACGACTATGCAGCACCAAACTAAAAGTAACAAAGTCTAATGATGCTATAAAGTATACCTAAAATACGAAAGAGAAAAACCTAGAAAAAACAGCAAATAGAGAAAAAAAATCATTATTACACCTCTCTGTGTCATGGAACTACAGAGCTATCATATTTTCAGTGGCAAGTCGTCCATATACACGCTTTTTTAGACCTTTTACGCTCTCACACAATTAATTTAAGAAGGATTTAAACTCATAATTTATCTCTAGAGATATTTGCAAACAGGGATATTTTAATTTGAATTACTCTGTACTATGCTTTTGCTCTCGGAAACTATTGGTATTAAAACTTTGAAAAATAGTCGTTAACGAAAAAGGATCAGAACAACGGAGTCATTCCTCAGTTAAATGCAGTAAATATTATCACTAAGTAATTTTTCCACTAAATCACATTTTAAATAGTATCTACTAGTAAGAAGTTATTTAGCACCTTTTTTTCCTTCCATTTTTTACTAGGAAAGCAAGTATAATCCTGCAGCAAGAAAGGAATTGATTGAATTCTCTTTTATCGCTTTTTAGTAATGCATGAACTTATTAATCCCTTCAATAATCCCACTCATTTTATTTTTTGAAAGAAGCGAAAGACACTACTAGCCTAATTGGCAGCATTTCCAAAAATATTTCGCTCACTTTTGAGTAAGTTTCCCAATGATGTCTTTTGGCCCCAACGATGATAGTCTTTTGAACTATTGCATACTATCTTTAAGGGCATTACATACAACAGTGCCTGGAGCGTAGAGGAGGGATGCACGTAATGACCCTTACTGCTCTTGGATGACTACTCTTGGAATGGATTTCAATGCATGAATTTTTTTTCACTGGCATAGAATTTTCTTATAGATGCACACAAATTTTGAACTCTCAAAAGCGAACTTTTTCTTCTAAATTAGAATTAAGTAGAAAACTGTTGTATCGTGTTCTTATCGATAGCTAAAATCAATGAAGGGATTAAAACTCCAAAATGCATTTAGAAGATCCTACCCTACCCTACCGGTTGCATTACGGGCCAGTCAGGGTACTGTAGTACATGATTAGCTATGTTACTCTTCTTACAGAGGCTTCATCTCCAGATTCAAACCTGCTGCGGGTTCAAGCAACTTTGCCGGGTCGTCGCCATTCTGATAATACAATACAACCTCCACGAATCCTGATTGCTCCTTCAAGTCCAGATGGCTCATATACTCCAGGCAATGTACAGAGAAGACATTCCAGTGTCTGTCCACAAGATGTCAGGTTCCAATTCAATTCTTTTAAAGTAAGTAGTCATCAGTTTGCTAACAACTCAACGTGATCCATCTTTGGTATCTTTAAGAATTTATTTTATTTTCCATAAAATATTTCATCTTCAATAATTTAGAAAATATTAAATTACCTATGCTTTTTTTCTGAATTGGCTGTGTCAAAATTCTCTTCGAGATTTGGAACAAAGAATTTCCAATACATCATCAAATTTTACTTACAACATCATCAACGTTTTTTTCGCAAATGTTCAAAATCCAAACCTTTAGTGACGCGACAAGCTTCAAGTCTTTCAATTTGCAGTGAGTAGCGTTGTTTACCTCGATATACTGCAACTGAGGTTAATGCCACAATTCCAGGAAGATTATGCGTCGTTCATTAAGAAAAGCTGAGACTATTCCTATTATCCAACAGACCTTCGTAATTTCCTAAATAACGAGCTTCCTCGTCGTTGGATTGAACGCGGGTTGAATGGCGACAATCGGCTTCTTCCATGAATACCGCGTTTTTCATACTTAACTCCCTGACACTTTTTTATGGATAAAATCAAAGATTATGTATTTTTGAACCCTATGTCACGTGATTCAACAAAATTATGACGAAGGATCACAACCGCTACCATTGATCGTGACATATTGCAGCAAGTGCGGCAAGAATTTGACTTGAGACCTGAGTTCTGCCGCATCACCAAAAGTACATATTTTTAGAACAGGTAAGGTAAAATTTGTTAATGTTTAGTAATATTTGCTTGTTATGAGCCTTCCAAACCCCGTGGGGAATTTTGACGCACCCTGTATGTAATTTTAACTTAGTAAGTTATTAAATGCAATAATTTTAGTGGTACATACACATTCCTTCTGTACTCTACGGTGAAAGGCATTATTCTCTATTAGTCATATCTTTGATACAAACTGTTAGGTCATGATTTGTTGATTTTATATTTAACTGCTAATATGAGATAGTGGGGCCTGTCGGCATTCTGTTCGCAATATCTACCTCAGCAAGCACTATAGGCTAATACAGTCAAACCATCTTAGGGTGCATCTCATCAACTCCAGTTACGTGATAGTAATTTTCATGCAGAAATACTTTATTTACGTCTTACTAGAGCTTCACAGGGGCTATTGGATACGGTTCTAAGAGAATGATTCAAAGAAGTGCTATCACAATTTTGATCCTCTACAGAAAAAATGGAACCCCCGCTTTGGTAGCGAAATCGAGCATTTCACGGTAGATCAGCTTAATGAGGACAGATACCGCTTACTCTCGGTCCCTTCGCACGCTGATGAAATTGGTCACTCACCTACTAACCGCAGCCAGTGAGGTTTGACTTAGGAATAGCAATTTTCTTTCAGATAATAATTGATACTTTTTTTGCAAATAATTTATTATTAATTTTTTATCGGAATTTTATTTTTTCTTAAAAAAGTTAGTTTAAATAAAAATTTAAGTTAAATAATAATTAAAAATAAGTTAAATAATAGTTAAAAAAGTTTAGTTTAAATGAAAATTTTAAAATACTAATTTCTTAAACAATTTGAAATACTTTATTGTTTTAAAATAGAAATTATTCAAGTGATTGTTACAAACTTCTTCTATTGACACTTTTGTCTGATAATACTTTTCTGACCTAAATCAGTAATAGTATTTTTATCAGGATTCAAGCAACTGTTCAATTTTCCTTAAAGTTTCAAGCAATAGTTTCTTTTAAAAGGAACAGTGCGCCCAAAAAAATATATTGATCTATTGATCGAATCGCGTTTAAGGACATTCTTAATGACACTTTTTTTGCAAATGGATTATTAATTTTTTATCGGAATTTTGTATTTTCTTAAAATTACTGAGTTCAAATAAAAATTTCAAATACTAATTTCTTAAACAATTCAAAATACTTGATTGTTTTAAAATAGAAATAATTTTAGTGATTGTTACAAACTTCTTCTATTGACACTTTTGTCTGATAATACTTTTCTGACCTAAATTAGTAATAGTATTTTTATCAGGCTTCAAGCAACTGTTTCATTTTCGTTTCAGGCAGTAGTTTCTTTTATAAGGAAGAGTGCGGCTAAAAAAAATATCTTTTGATCTATTGATCGAATCATCACGTTCAAGGACATTCTTAATGGTTCGAGAGGGAGACCTTAAATATGCCAATTAATTATTGCAGACAATATATTAAGTTACGAAATCAAACACAAAAACGTGCTTTCTCTGAATAAACATACCTTTTTTAAAACGGATTTCTGACCCCAAAATATAGGGGGTAGCCACAATCTAAGAAATATAGTCCCCATAGTTTGGTCAGGAGATAAGATCCTAAGTTTGGATCCCTTAATGTTAATTTTACTTTTTGCGTATTTCGCCATACCTTGAGAACTTTTAAATAGAATTAAAAAAAATTGCACACATTTACAAGATTTGTTTATCCAAAGATAATTCCAAGCAAAAACTAAATGTTAGTAAATATTTATTATTTTTAATTGTTTTATTGAATAATAGTCGAAAAAAGTTTAAAAATTGTGAGGTACATCGTTTTAAAGTTTGTAATTTTACTTGGAAAAGCACAAATGTTTAGCGAAATCGCTAAATATTTCCTGAGAAATTGAATTAAAAGGAAGTCGTATACTTAAAATTCGATTGCTCTGGAACTATTCAACTTATTTCGCTAAAATTTTGCATTTTGCCTTGTAAGATTACATAATGTAATATGATGTAAAAAAATCGTATACCGCACAATTCAAAATTTTTCCATTATTGTATAATAAAAATACTAAATATTAACTAAAAGTTGCATGGAATTATGTTTGGATAAACGAATTTCATAATTGTGTGCAGAATTTTTCGATTCGCTTAAAAAGTTCTCGAGATTTGACGAAATGCGCAGAAAGTAAAGTTAAAATTAAGGGGTCCAAACTCTAGCTCGCTCTCCTGATCATATGGGGATCATATTTCCCAGATTGTGGATCATATTTCCTAGATTGCGGCTACCCCCTGTGATGCCACAATTGGCATTACATATTTATTTCCTACCTTTTAAAATATCTTTAATTACTTAAGCTTATTTTATTAATCGAATTATATTTAAAATAAATTGCCTGGCAAACCACCTTTGTCGCATCGGCATTCTCGCTGACCCAAATTGCCCGTTATGCTCGAATAATGAACTTATGGACAGGAACCATCTTGAGATGCTCGGCTCTGCGTGGGGACTCTGAGCATAGCCACCGAGAGTCAAGGCCTCTCAGTAGATTTGTGACGTCATCCTCTGAGGGGCTAGTGAAGCACAAGATAACACGGTATTCAGATTTGTATTAAGAGAAAACTAAAGTAAATACTTCAAACTTTTGAGCCACGTAATATATTTTTGCTTTAGNCTCTGAGGTGAGGCACTACTGGAGTTCCCGACATCTGTTAATGAGATAGTGACTTTTTTCTCTTACTTGTTGTTCACCTTTTTGTTCACTGTTTTTGTAAGAGTTTGTCATTTTCTTTTGCCATTAGAAATAAAAAAATATTTAAAATAAATCAAAAAGTTAATCTTTTAAAGCGAACATAAAATATTTATTCTTTTTTTTTATCGATCAATGAAACGGATATTTTTTTATTTCATTACTAATGCAGACTCATTAATTCACTGCCGCGCCGAATCGAAAACAAAAATCTATTTATAACTTATAAGATAATGCATGATGAATTCTTATACTTCCACTATATGCTAATAATGGCGATCACCACCATTGCCACACCCATATATTTTGGGGGACAGAAATCCGAATCTGTAGAAACAAAGGCATGTTTATTCAGAGAAATTACGTTTTTGTATCTGATTTCGTAACTTAAAATATCGTCTTCCCTTATTAGTTAATGTATTTGAAGTCATCCTCTCGAGCTAGTTTGAGTCCTAGAATGGTTGTTTTGAGTCCTAGTCTTGAAGTTTGAGTCCTAGAACGCGAAAATCCGGTCATTCGGGGATCAAAAATAATTCAGAGTGGTGCGTATTTTTATTATTTTTATTATTATTATTTTGCGAACAGTACATTTAAGGTTTAGTTAGGGTTTGGACTAATATTTGAATATCTTGCGAAGGGAGAGTGAAAAAAAATATACAACTTGTCTTTCCGGTCACGGTCAATTCCCCGATAGATGCATTTTGTTGGCATTATTGGTACGGGGTCGTGCGTCGGCGTTGTTTTTGCTTTTCTCCCTTACGCCGTATACGAGCTAAATTGGCAGGGTTCGAACAACTTTGTAAAAATATCCTTCAAAATTCAAGATTAAATTTTAAGAGTTTAATTATTTGTTTGCAGTCCTGAGATATTACTAGCTAAAGCATTAGTCGCATTTCATAATTATTATAGAAAAAACTTAAAAGCCCAAAACCATGCTAACTGGTCCAACTCTGAACTACTGCCTAAAAACTGTATATACTAAAACTATAACTACATAAAACTTTAAAACTATATATTATAACCTCCAGCAAAATTTAAATTTTTTAGTGATGTCAATCAAATGGCTTTATTAGCTGTGACAGGCATCATATGCGTTCATTCTCAATGTATTTTCTCATTGATTTGCATATTATTAATCTAGTTCTTAAGTTTATTAAAGAATATATATTAAGTTCATAATGAAAAGAAACTCAACATAATCAAAACTATATTTTAACAAATCATTTGAATAGCCATTAATAGTTTAATATATTAGCCTTTAATAATTGAATAAAGAAAAATAATTTGAATAGCCATTATGCCAAAATAGTCACATACTATAAGGAAAAATAATGATATATTTATTTCTATAAAATTGCCTGGCAAAAAAAAAACACCAAAAGATTTTGCAACATGTTTTTTATCAATAAGTTCGTTACATTTTTTTTTTTCTCTATCACTATCATGCTGTCTTGATTCTTGCATAGTAATTTTACTGTAAGAATAACATGAATGTTTAATTTTAAAAAAAAGAAACAGATTATTTTTAATTCTAGCTATAATTTATTTTATTTAAGATATCATATCCTACTCAATATAAATTTAAATATTTTTAAAAAATCTTAAAATTGAAAATAATGCAATTCTGATTAATGAAATATTTCTTCTCTACTAGCTCAATATAACAAACGATAATTATTCAAATCAACTACAAAATTTGAAGTAAATTTAAAATCTTACATTATTATGAATCTTTATTTTTTTTTAATTCTTAATTCGGCGCTCGTAAGCTTATTTGAACTGTTTTTAATTAAAAGTTTGCAGCGTCTAATGGAATATTTTTAGGTAAGCCCTTCACCACAAGTGACCACCCCTAACGTCGGAATGGACTTTTTGACTTCCGGACGTGGAAATATGAGGAGGTATTCTGCAGCCGCCCTTTATGCAAGCAGTGGAGTACCAGCCACTTGTAACAGTCGAGGTCCAAGCCCAGCAGGCTCAGCATCCAGTTTACTACAACAAATAGGATCTGGAGTAGTAAGTATTTCCAAAAGGTGGATAAAGAATAATTTGTGCTACGTAAACATAAGTAGAAAATTATGCGAATAAAGCACAAATAAATTAGAGAAATGGACATACTATAGTTTCGGTTCCCTAATCAAGAACCTTTGCTTGTAATTAAACACCAAATGACAGTGGAAAAGTAAATTGAAGGTATTATTTTTAGAAAAAATGTTTTGTTACAAACTGGCTTATGTAAACATGAATAAATATTTCTTAATTTTTCCCTTTCATTTAACTTAAGTTCGTCTCATTAAAGTAGTGAAGTAGTTAATACAATTCCAAAGTAGTTTGTAGTCACTACATTTTAAAAAAAGTAGTTGTAGTTGCAGTTAACTACATTCGTAACAAAGTAGTTAAAGTAAACTACAAAAATTATGTAGTTTTCTGACCACTGGGTTTAAAGGTTTTGACCAATAGGGATTGGGAAATAAGTTTGAACGTGATAAGAAATAAGTGTGAGGAGTTTGGCTGATACCCCAGGATGCAAAAAAATTTAATTAGATTGCCAAATATTGGGAAATTGCGAGATACTAGAAATATCATTAACTAAATTATTCAAAATTTTCAAAGTATGGAATGATTCCCAAAAATCAAGCTCGGTAGGTAATTAGCAGTGCGGAATGATTTTAGCAGAAGAAAACTCAAACCTATAATTAGGATTCCAATTATATAGGACGATCTTCATCGTCATATATAGATGGAATTTCCAAACGTCTGGAAATATATTCTAATTTAATCTTTAGCCCTGGTTTCCGCCAAACCCCGTCATACCTGTTTCTTGTCCAATTCTTATTATTTTGTTCAAACTACAGTCACACCCCGCTATAGTGAACCTTCAAGAAGCCGAAATTTCAGTTCTCTATAACCGGGAGTTCGCTATATCTATACCACAAACAATTAATGGTTCTGAACTCCTCCCTTTTATTACACATTTAAATAAATGGCCACGGATAAAATGAAATAAAAAAATGACTAAAAAATAGTATGTAGTAACAAAAAATGTGTTACATTTTATTTTTTATAACTTTTCGTCTTGGGTACAAAAAATGTAGGGATGGCCTTTATTCAGGGATGGGAAATTGAAATAAAAGAAGCAAACAAGAAAAAATGCTTACGGCTACATTTCACTCTATAGATGGTTTTAAAAATCGGTATATGTATTTTAAGTAGAAATTTCAAAATCACCAGAAAATAAAGAAAAAAATCAGTCGAGGACAGAAAAAAGTTCATAATATCCAACTTCCTCTCTTTTTTTGGTTCACTATATCCACAAAAAATAACATATCGTCTAGCAATAATAGCAAGGCACGGGAGAGAATGTTTTGCTCACTATAGGGGGTTTGACTGTAGTTACTCTGTCTCTATTGGTTAAACCACTTTTTACGTGTTTATCTCTGTAACTTTCTATGAAGGTTCTTGAATTAGACAACTGGAACTAAAGCATGTCCATTTCTGTACTCCATTTGTACTTTATTCTCGTTGTTTTTTACTTCAGTAAGTACTTTTCTCCCTCTAGTACATTTTAAAATGTTCATATATTGCAAATTTAAAAGCGTACAAGTTGATGTAGGTTTTAAACGTCTTTCTCATGAAGTGAGTTCGTGGCTGAAAAAAATGTATAATTTTAAAAAAAAGAGAAAAAGCCTCATGTATTCCAAATTAAAAGATAATATAATATAATATATAAATATATTTATAATTTAATAATATGTAAATATATACTTTAATAATATATAAATATATACTTTAGATAAAAATAAAACATTTTTCAGTGTATAGAATCGTAATTTAAATGTCAGTAGTGGGAATGATCCAGCGGCCTTCCAGCTATGAGTTTAATAATTTGGCCATGAACATACGTGCATTAATACGGTTTATTTATATCAACCACTTTCCTGATTATCCCGAGTTAACTAGGTTAACCGAGTTAACGAGTTAACCGAGTTATGTATATATTGCAAATATTTATTATGCCGGAAAAACTCTGGAGCAGCAGAATTTATCGGTACGTTTTGTTTTATCACGTTTGTACACGGCCGAAATAAAAATAAAAAAATTATCTGCTGCGATTGAAAGTTTACCAAGTTTTGGTTGAGAGTTTTGCTGGTGGATTGTGGGACTGCACACGTGTTGCGTGGTTGCTGAATTTACATAGAAAAAATGGCGCATCACTTCACTGACGTTTAGAAAGTATCACTTTGTGTTACTTTGAAAGTATCACTTTGTCCCCTGTCTTAAAAACTATTATACAAAGACTAATATTAAACTTTTTTCATTTGCCTCAGATAACTTGGGATAGTAAACTAATGGTAAATATTTTTACACATAAAAAAAATTAAAATTTCAACTTAAAACTTGTATATAATGTTTTGTTTCGTTTTGTTTTTAGTTCTATGTATTAATTAATAAACTAAAAAATTTTTTGATTTTTGCATTTTTTTTTCAAATAAAATTGGTAAGAGAAACGCTTAAGAGAACTAAGACTTTGAAGTGTCATATTTTGAACTTTTATAAAATCCTATGCTTTCGACTACGCTCTTTAATTTAAACTCTATTTCGTTTGAATAAGAAATTTTTACATATGCGTACTTCCTTTATAAAAGACAAATCTGCGGAAAATCTTTTGAAAGAACACGTGACTATTATTTCCCTTCTCTCCCAATTTCCATGAATAAGCAGTATATGAATTGTTAGTTTAGTACTTAATGCCTCAAAGTTTCCCCCATTTTCATCTTTCCATTCCTCAAGAATATTACATTTAAAAAAAATGGGGCAAGTAGCCAACAGAAAGATTACAAACGTTTGACAATATATTATGGATATTATATTACAGACCAGTGATTCTCAACCTTTTTTTTTTTTGTTGCGGCACACTTTTAATGATTTCGAAATTTGACTGCACACAATGAAAAAAATTAGATTAAAAATTGTTTATTTACCTATATTACACTGTGTTAAATAGTTTGTGATAATAATTTTGAATGTGAAATAAAATAATATGTACTACAAAAGCACATTTATTAAGGGGTTAATTATTTCGTTCGACCAATTTTTTATTAGTTAGAAACAGTTATTTATTTTTTTGCTAGTTATTAATATTTAGCTTGTTTTCTATAATTATTAACTGTTATTTTTTGTGATTTCTTGTTAACTAGTTTCTTTGCTAATTAATAATTGTTAGCTTAATTTTTGTTAGTTATCCTTTGTTAATTTGTTTTTTACATAGTTGTTTTTTTTAGTTATCCTTTGTTAATTTGTTTACTAATAGCATAGCTTACTTTAATGATTAGCTCTTATAACATTTTTTAAAATTGTGTGTCGTAAAAAATTTAAACACTTCCATCTTATTTTAAGATTGTCAGAGACAATACAATCGCCGACAAAAATGTTCGCGCGGTTAAAGCGTCTAAAAATTATAAAAAGTNTTATAATATATACTTTTCTTGAATTTAAACTTTACTCGTAATTAAAAAAGCATTATAATTTTTATTGTATCATTTCTAATATTTGGCGGCACACAAAAGTGCCGCGGCACAGTGATTGAGAATCACTGTTATAGACAATATATTTGACAATATTGCTTTTTAAATTCTCAACATTATTTCAGATGTAATCCTCATCTCTTTAGTATATTTTGATTTGTTAAAATATGGTTCGATATTTGCTTAAACGGAAAATATTTTACTGCCTTAAATAGTTGAAATCTTAAATAGATTTAAAAAGTTTGCTCTTGGCAGCAAGTACGAAAGCATTATGCAATAAAAATATTTTAAATCAAAATTTTATTTTTCTGTTGAACAAGCAGTATAGGAAGTCTTAATAGCTTTTAAAAGAATTATGTGAAATTTCTTACCCTATTCATACTAAAAATGATTTTTAGCCGTTAACGAACGTCTAATTAACGGAAACTGATTCAGATCATTGTTTCGAATCAAGTAACTCGACTCACTGATCCAATCACGCAGCTCAATTCAGAGTTTAAATCAAGTGATTCGGTTCACTGATTCAAAATACGTGATTCGTCATTGTTTCAATTTATCCGAATCACTTGAATCAGCAATTTTGATTTGAATATTGTTTTCAACTCGTAAATCAATGTTCTACTTATTTATCTATCAAATCTATCTTTAATATTTCAAATCCATTTATTTATTTCATATCTCTTAGTTTGCTAAAACTGTTACCAAAGCAATTTTTTTTTTAAAATGTGTATTTCACTTTATGCTTTATAATTACAAAAGTTTTCTTTATTTAAATATAAAATGTTGGGTTTCGAATTTATTTCTTCTGAAAGAGAATCTTATAGGTTTTAGTTTTATCTTGTACTTGGCATTTTTCGTGGGTTTTTCATTCCTCTGTAGGTATAGTTTTTCTTCCGATAAAGTTGTAATTGGATCCTGTCAATATTTCTTTTCAAATTTTTATTTTTCAGCCCTTATGGAAGAAGACAGCTTTGTTTACCTTACTATTGCTTTGTTTACCCTAAAGTCCCAAACAGTAAACGGGAACTTTTTCTCCATTAAAAATTACTATTTAGAGTTTTCAAAGCTACTCATAGGCTATATTTCTTTAAATTTTCTATTTCTAATCTTTTCATTTAGGCATCTCACTCTTAAGGTTGTATTCAGTTCTTTTTGAGATTGACTTTTTCAATTTTACGTTACTTAATCTGAGACCATGGGTTGTTGGAGGTCGTGCGCCGCCTTATCTCTATTTCTTTCAACTTGCGGAATTTATCCTTATTGAGGGATTTCTTTATTAAACTTATTTGATTATTTAATGGATTTAAAAGCTAAGTATTTTTAAAAAATTGTAATTCTACATGAAAATCGGACGCTTTTGAATTTATTGACAAATTTTCCTTAATCAATCTTAAAGGATTAAATTTCGTAAAATAAATCTCAGTCTTAAGTCTCATCCTTAAACGTGATTAAGTGTTCATTCATTCTTCTTATAATTTCGTTTCTAAATTTTAGTTTCAGCTAACTCATGTTTTTTTTTATGTTTCTACTACAAATGTCTCAAATGACAAAATTTTCATAACTCAACGGCTGCTCTCTGAATTTGCTCATTAATTTTCCTTTGCTCATGAATTTTTGTTTTTAAAGAATGATAAGTGTAAATAAAATTGAAAATGCAAATAGATTTATATCCAATGGTAAGGAAATTTTTCTAAATTTTAAAAATAAAATAAGTTGATTTTTTAATAGAATCAAGGATTCAAAATAAATTAAAGTTTAAAAAACGAAGTCCCACGATAAAGATAAATTCCGACACTCGAAAGAAAAAAGGAAAATTTGGCGCGCCACCTCAATCACCTATGGTCTCAAATCAAGTGGCGATAACTTGAAAAAGTCAGAAAGATCTAAGGTTATTGAAAAACTGATATCCATTGAAAAGATTCCATGTAGAAAATAAGATTCTATCTCGAAAATAAGATTCTATGTAGAAAATAAAATTAGATGTAGAAAATAAAATTAGATGCAGAAAATAAAATTAGATGCAGAAAATAAAATTAGATGTAGAAAAATAAAATTAGATGCAGAAGAGTAAAATTAGATGCAGAAGAGTAAAATTAGATGCAGAAGAGTAAAATTAGATGTAGAAAAATAAAGAAAAATAAAACTAAATGTAGAAAAACAAAATTACATGTAGAAAAATATAATTAAATGTAGAAAAATATAATTAAATGTAGAAAAATGAAATTAAACGTAGAAAAATTAAATTAAATGTAGAGAAATGAAGAAAAAGAAAATTAAATGTAGAAAAATGAAATTAAATGTAGAAAAATTAAATTAAATGTAGAGAAATAAAGAAAAAGAAATTTAAATGTAGAAATAAATAAGTAAAAAAATAGGAAGATAAAAAGAAACATGGATAGGATTTGACTGCAACATTTGACCTCGATAGAAAGAAGAAGAATTAAGAACTAACAAGATTTTCTTTCAGAAGAAGTAAATTCGATATCCAAAATAATACAAAGCACTTCATATTTCACCATAGAAAACTCTTGAACTTCTGGCAATATCAAAGAGAATTTCACATTTAAAAATAAAAATACTACCCTGAAATTATTAGCAAAATAAAAAATTTAAATTAAATAAATTTAATGACTGAATAATTGTGGCATTATACAAAGTGTAATCACAAAAATCAGTATTCGTACCAACAAAGACAAATTCTTCATCAGTATTCTTATTCCGAGAGTAAAAATTCAGAGATTTATATTTTTCAAGAAATTAGCATACAAATATGTTGTAAAGAAAAAAAAGACCAAAGAGTACACAAGGCTAATTAGTCAATTTGCTTGTAAAAATTTAAAATAAAGATAAAAAGCAATTGCTCAATACAGATATTAAAGACAGATTTCTCAAACAATAAAAGAGTTGTGAAATTCTTGAAATTGTTTTAATAATTCGCGCAAGACATTGGTAAAAGGCAATGAAGAACATAACGTTATTACAGCGGAAAAGTTTAGAAAGAGTCTTATAAATTTAACAAGAAAAATTAAAAACAAGACAACAAAAGAATTTTTAAAGGTATAAATTATTTAAAAAATATGTTGTGGTTAACAAAGAATGAACATTGAAATAAAAAATTTGTATAAAATAGGAGTTTTTTCTGAACCTTGGTAAAAAAAAAAAATCAAAAGTATCCAGAAGCCACCTGAAATTACTTTAAGAACCCTGTTCTAATATAATCCGAAGGAAAGATAATATTTTTCCTTTTTATAACAGTAAAATGAGAAGGACCTGATTTAAAAATCCTGTAAGAGCCATATTTATATTTTTCACCTGAGCAACATTAATTAGTATGTAAAGAACGTGAATCAAACATTGATCTTTGTTTATAATGGGGACGGATTTATCAAGGTTGGTCTGAGTTTAAAGATAAAATACCATTTTCTTCTTGTTGTTTTAACATAAGATTGCTTTTCACCTCCGTTTATCGTAAACATTTATTTCCTCATCTCTTTGAACTACTGTAATTGTCTGCGAAATTGTGTTGTAACGAATTGTGTGTAACGAATTGTGTGTAAACTTGAATGTTTTTCCTGTTTTATTTGTTTTATTATGTGAAAAATATTTCACATTTATGATTATCATTCTGATTATTATATTATCTCCGCAGCAATCTCTCTTTGGAAAATAAAACTTGATACTGTCCAGATCCATTTCCGAATAATTGAAGGAAGAAAAACGGTTTTGGTATCAAGCAATAGTGATCTGATGTGTACGGGCCTACACCCTTCTGACAATCCACGACAACACAGCGACCAACACCACGGTCTTTTCGCAACTCAATTCTGATAGCTACCAACCCTCCATATCACACCACAGTTCAGTGAGACACTCCTACATCAAAACTTTATAGAAAAACTCTGACCGTTGAACACTGTTGGCTCACTTTTGACTTGACTAGTGAAGATTTACCACAAAGGATATTTGCTGTTGCCACTTGCAGATAGTCCATTTAGAACCGTGGATTTGTCAAGTAACACCTAACTCTGATGGATATCGTAGCTCAGGCGGGATGATTGAGAAATTTATCTTTATTTTAGTTAATATTCAAATCAAGTCACTTGACACACTGAGAACAGATTCAACTTTTGTGACTAGAAAAATGCCTCATCAAGCCCAATTACGAGTTGCTAAAAAATTGCTCAGCACATAAAACATGTGATCAGAGGGATATAGTTCTAAAAAAAAGATTCGTTAAACTATATCTTTTCATCTTCAATTATTGCAAAAAATATTTACATTTAGCTTGTTAATTGTAATCTTGTTAACTGAGAAGCTCTTGATATCTTAACTAATTTTAGTCTGCAGTTGAAATGATAATTAGAGAAAAACAATTATTCCCTACAGAAAATTCAAAAATCAATGCCGACACATGATTTTTATATTTAAATTCAACTAATTCCTTGTGAAAACATCTCACGCTGGTTTAAAACGTTAAACTAGAATTTTGTCTACTCCAAAATAGATTTTATGCTATATATTTTTATACAAAGAATTTCCAATGAGAATACAAAAATATGTTTCATTAATAAGAAATTTAATCGTTATTTGATGGGTCCCACAGCACAGCCCCAATATATGTATGAAAAAATTTTTATATTTAACAATCTTGGAGAGGCATGCAGCCAACTTTAATGCAATAAATAAGTTTGGTGTTTGCATGAAATGTTTTTATTTTAAAAACTAGTCTTTGAAATATGTATTTTGATAACAATTCGATTATCTCAAAAATAAAACTGACCCTGGACTAACTTTAGCTAAGTGGAGCTAAATCTTTATATCCATCGCAGCGAGATGTTACGGAAATGGGACGCCTCTAGCAACACAAGTATTATTAAATTAGCAAGAAACAAATAATATTGTGTTCAAACTATCACAGACCTTAATAAAGTGGAAAAAGATATAATAAGAAATTAAGCTTATATCTTCGGAAAACTAAAGAACTTCCAAAACCTGTTTTCCTTTTTTCTTCAAATTTACTAGAAATAAAACAAAGTAATCCTAAATTGTATTGCTGTTTTAATAGAAACAACTTGATCATCAACAATGTGATCACTTCAGTATTCATCAAAAAACTATATAAGTCCTGTTGTTATATTGATGAATAAAATCTACGTTTCTACAATTAGAAGTAAGAAAAACATTAAAACCTTCGTGCATAATTTCTGCCTCTTTATGTATTTCAAAAATTTGAAAAAAATCTATTTGTGATTATCTTTAGAAGCAGTAAATGCATGTATGCTGTTTAGAAAAATGGAAGAATTTAGACATTTTTTTATATTTCTTTTCTCAATTTATCATTGTTATTCATTGAATAATTTAATAGATTTTTAACCCATTTTGCCTATTAATAAGTGTTGCATATATGGTTACTTACATAACTACTAAGTAGATTGCACGTGTTTAAGCACTTTTTTTCAAAGCAGCACTTTTAACTTACTCGTGTCACCTTTTATATTTCAAAAAGAAATTCATAATGAGAAACTGCGTCATTTTTCCTTATCAATAGGCAACAATCGATAACCATAATGCACCACGATGTATCCCGGTTTTGGTGACTTTAACCTACACTCCTTTTTAAATTAATGTACCGTCAAGGATTCATATTTTTTTATTTAAATATTTAAAACAAGCACCTTATAGATAATTTTTAACTATAATTTTCCCTAATATTATTATACGAAATTTTTTCTTCGAATTTAAGTATAGAGAAATTCTTTTAAAATTGATCAGTCCCAATTATATTTTAAATTAAGACAAAAGGAATAGCAACTTCTCAATATGAGCTTCTGAATTTTGAATACTTTAAGTTATGACACTTAAACTGCTTTACTAAAATTAGATATCTATTATTGTTAATTTGATAACAAAACAAGTAGTTCCTTTTCTTTATAAAGTAAATATTCGAAGTTACGTTTTGTTTAGTAACATTCTTCTTGCAAAATAACATTTAGGAAAATCTTTAATGACCGGTGGCTATCCCCTACAAGAAAATGTATACCCAGAAATGTATGTTGTTAAAATCCTATTTTGAAATTTTGACAAAACTCTTAATTTGTTTTTCTCCCATTTGAACCTTGCCCTGTGTACAATCTTTAGTATTTGTATAAATTTTACAACTAGTATGATTAGTAAATTTAGTTCATATACAAATTTAAATTTGCTCATTATTAAATGGTAATAATCTTATTTTTTATGCTATTCTGCGTAAAGGCCATCAAAATACTTAAAAAATTTTGTATTAAAAATTTTTTTAATTTTTATATTATTTGTACTTAATAAGCCAGAATCGTAAGTTGGTTTTATTATCTACTTTTTTAAAAAGAAATAATAAACACCAAGTTGTTTCGTTTTACGCCGAAGAATTCAATGCTCAATTAGAAAAACATAACATAGAATGATAAAAGTTATTATTTACTAGTTTGAATAATTTAACATTCTCTGCTAGTTGATGATTTAAAGACATCAAATTTGTACAATTTCTAGAAGTTAAGAAAAGTGTTATTTTTCTTACAAAGATTTCTTCCTGAACTCGCAGAAAACTGCTTTACTCAATTTTGGACAATCATTTACTAAAGCTTGTCTATATTTAATACATAACTTTTCTAATAATTCAATTTTGGTACATATAAACATTATATTTTATTTCTGTTCAATTAGTGTTAGAACTTTAAAAGTTTATTATTTTAGGACTTTATTTTTAAATATTTTTCGTTTCCGCAAACAATTTCGGTATTATTATTTTAAGTTTGGGTGAGGACAACTTCTAATTCAGCATTTAAGAGTTGAAACATATACTAGATGTAATCAAATTACGAAAAAACTGAATCGCGTCTGTGAACATATTCGTAAATATAATTAAAAATTAAACAAAAATATTTTGCTCAGTAGTTGAAATGGAAGAAAAGTCGACAGGTTTTTAGCCCTCAAACATGATGCTCCTCGTCATAATGATTAAACTTGTTCAGCGATTCAGCCTACGTGCTATAGAGCGTCAAATACGTCAAGAAATCGTAAAGAGGACGCTCTAAAAAGTGTTTTTAGGCGTCCTTTGTGACGCGTAATTCTTTATCGAGGAAACGGGGGAAATATATATCTCCAACATATTTTAGTAGACAGGATAACTAAAAAAAAATATGTATTAATAGCAGATAGTACTAGTACTTAGTACGTTTCATTGAGGCAAGTGTTGGATCAGTCCTCATTAACCCTTTTTGACACAGAATTTTTAATTATACATATTTTCATACTTTTTTCAGTATTTTGTATTAATGTAAGTCAAAATAAGTGAAAAATATTATCTTTAGCATTTTAATTGTTTATGGTTATAAAATTCAGCATTAAATACCGGTGTCTTCTACGGTTAAAGGTAAAATCTTCCAAACATTGCTCACTTCCAAACAATAATTTTTTTCAAATTTGCACTTATCTATGAGAAGCAGCTATTCATCAAGCAAATTTCTTTCATTTACAAAATCAATTATTCAGAAATTTTTGAATATGGATGAAAAAAAAATTTTTCCAATTACTTTGGTATACTATATTAGTAAAAATTAATTAAAAACTCCAATGAAACTAACAGATATTTTGGTATCTATTGGAATATATCAATATATATATATATATATATATAAAATTTCGAAATTCTTTGTTTTGTCTACCTCTGAATTGAATAAATATACAGATTAATAGATGGATAACGAGATAGAGAATTCATTGTCTGCTGAATATCACGGATCATTTTTTTTCCTCTCAGACTACCCGATCCTCTTCATTCTCCACTTCTTTTAATTTTAAAACATTTGAAGTACTAATTTATATTATGCAATTTTTGAAAATTTAGATACTTTTCATATACTTTTTTTCATACCCTCTTATTTAAAAAAAAAATATCATGGAAATTCGGGTCCTGGGTGTAAGGGTCCAGCGGAATCTCTGTCTGTTATTATGACGAGGATTGTGACGTGTTTATCATGTCAACTTTCTATCATTTCTACTATGAACTCAACCTTATTTCCGCTTCAGTTTTCTTGAGATAATTCGTTTAACAATCGCAAATTATTCTAATTGAGAATCGGATCTCAATCTCCGAATCATCTTAAATTAAGGACTTGTAAAGCATTTTAAATTTAACTTAAAATATTAAACTGCTGTCTGACTTTTAAAAAGTAAAATTTTTCATCAGTAAAATAAATTATCGAGAATAAATTGCTCCAAGTTTTCTATGTATTTAAATAAATCACAGTTCTTATAAAGCGAAGCGAATGCTACTATACATCAACAGGATAATGAAAGATATATAAATGTGCCAATTTGCATTCACATTCTAGCGACTTAATTTCCGCTGAATTTTTCTGTCAAAAAAATACTTCAATGTTTTATGTGATCATTCATGCACCGCCATATAAGGCAATATGTGTATGCGTGTTCTTTCGATCAAATTTTCTCCCGCTAAATAGTTTTTTAGAAACATAAGATTAAACTCAACTATTTGCTCGTAGCCAGCGAGATGTTGTGTGTGTTTGTTGTGTTTGTATTTCGTGTCTTTATGTGCTAATAATGTTTAACCTTTTCAATTCATTCTCATGTGTTCTTAAAAAGCTATGTTTGGAAGTACTTCGTCAGTTTTGAATGTTAATTTAACACACGTCATGAAAAATAAAATTTTATCTGTGTAATGTTGTTCTTAGTGTTTTTCATTTGTAAAAATAAATTTAGTTCACCTTATAAATATACATTTTGTCTCTAAACCAATATTTAGTAAACTTTTTGGTCAAATACTCTGCTGTTTGGTTACTTTCAGAAAAGGTAGTACACTATGAGTCATTTTCATGAGGATTTTTGAATATAAATGAAGGTCTTAGAGCAATATAATGATAATCCACTGCAAAATATTCAAATCATTTGAGGTAAAAAATACTAAGATTTCTATTTATATTAATAAAGTAGTAGGATGTAAGTAATAGGATGCTTTTGCATCTTGTGCTGTTATTTAGTGAAAATTCCGAAAACATGCTAAGTACTTATTTAAAGCAATACTGAAGAATAGTTTATTAAAATATCACCATTTGGAAAAAGCGCACCTTATCACAATATTATTTAACACCCTGAAAGTACTTTCTAGCATAGGTTGAAGTGGCATGAAAAATGTTGTCTACTTCAATTTGGTTATTAAAATATTTACCCTCAAATTAGCATTCAGAATATTTTCAATTCCCATTCGTGTCAGGATACGTTAGCTTAAAATTTTTAAGCAAATATTATAAAAGATTTGCTACAAAATAAAGATTTGTTACAATTCTCAAACTTAGTTTCTGTACTAACGGTAAAAAATTCAATCCAAAATTAGTTAAAAAACTTATGTTTACCTAAATCTGTTTTTTGAAAACATAGTTTCATAAGAAGAGCGTATTAGACAAACTAAAGAGTATTTATAAGTAAAAATAAAAGATGTTTAGGGAATAAAGCTTGTGGGACACTTCTTAAAAGTTAATGATTGTGTATAGATAATTCAGGATCTTTAAAAATATTAATTTTACAGGATATTAAGATTACAATTTTCAGCGATTTTTGACACCATTGCAAGAAATTTTAAAGAAGTGTTCTTAAGTTGCTTGCTAAACGGCGAAATTTTAAACTTTAACGAGAGATATCACCGATTTTAAAAACTCTTCAACTATAATTGTAAATAGTTAATAGAATATGCCTAATTTTCTACATTTATTGCATCCCTGATAAAAAATATTCTTTTTCACAAAAATTAGTACATGCAGTACGTAGTAATTTTACAAAAATTAGTCAAGTACACGAATAAACCTAAAAGAAATTCGTGTAACCATTAGAAATTTCATTTTGCATGCATAATATTCTGAAATGCTATGCTCTATCTTATAAATGAAGTTTTGAAAGAATTGATACTTTCAATTAGAATTCAACAAGTATTGAGTAAAACTTTGAGAGCTCTCAATAAATAAAATTTTCAAAAAAAATAAATATTTAAAGTAATACGTGCTTATCAGGGAATCAAAAACAGGCTTATCGCGGAAGCTACTAGAAGCTCAATATCTAAACAAGTGTTTGGTTAAAAAAATTAAGAGGAACTGTTATAACAGCAATAAGAATATTCAGATGCTTATCTCAATTATTCTGTCATTTGAATAAAGTTAAAACATTAATAAACTTCATTTGCAACAAAAAAATTAAACCTTTTTGAGATTCTTAAAAAAAAGTTAAATATTTTTCGTATTACATATTACATTAAACAGGGAAAGTCTTAAGGATTCTCCTCAGACCGAAAAGGGAATTTAAATCAGATTTTAACCTATGGAGAATTATATTAACGTAATTTCTTATTCACTAACTACCTGATAGTTTGGATTATTTTCTTGTTTCATCTTGTTTTAAATGTGCTTTGTTAAATCTAATTAACTAGGTTCAATAGAACTCTTAATCACTAATTGAAGATCCAAATGGAAAAATCTCTTTAGCTCATAGAATAAGCAGAATCCCTTTTCCTTACGTTAAGTGGGTTTTGAAGAGTAAAAATAGTGTATTTCCTCAAGCAATTTTTAATATAATAAAAGAATTATTTTATTTACACTTCAATTAAAAAAATAACAGCATTTCAATATTATTTTTAAACATTCTAAATCATAAATTTTGAAAATTAACCTTTGAGAGCTGCATTCCGGAGACTCTTCACAAAAAAATTATCTCGCGGAGAATATAACTCTTTCACACTGATGTGCAACATTAAGATAATTTTATATTTGGTCAATCTCCAGAATTACTAGACAGATATGATTGAAATTTGGTATGAGCTATTCGTAGTGGTGTTTTATTTACGTCACACTAGAGCTGCACAATGGGCTTTCGAAGACGTTCATGGAACATCCCTGAGAATGATCTAATGACATGACATCACAATTTTGATCCTCATCAAAGGGGATGCCTCTTCCGCTATGGTAGCCCGACGATTTTCGTACGAAGTCTATTATTTTGCGGTAGAATAGTTTAACGAGGACCTATACCACGCATCCTCGGTCCCTTCACAAGAGTGGTCACCGGACTTTTCACTGACCGCTGCCAGTGATGCTTGACTTCGGTGATCTACGGGGAACCATGTCTTACTGAGGGATGTGAACAATCGGTATGAACATACAAGAAAAATAAAATAATTTGACACACGCATAATCGTGCATTGTAGTTGGAAGGTATGAAACAGAGGCCGCAGAACCGAGCGAAAAAGGGCTAAATATGAACATGACTCCATCTTTAAGACATGGCAATGTGGCTGCTTTCTGACCTTAGACTGTTTCCGGTAGAAAACTGCGATTTTCAGTAGTTCTTCACATAGACTTGTTTTGCTGAGTTGAGGTCTGGAGATCTGATTGGCTAAATCTTCTGGTGAATGTTTTCACTTTTCAGAAAATCACTTTCGTTGGGGCTGTGTCAAGACCATTAAATCAGGGATCAATAGAAACTTGAGAAGCAAAGAGAGGGCTTTAAATTTTATCCCTCAAACCGGTCTAAGTGCCTCTTTCAAAGATATGGATGTATATGCGGCTGTTCAGCAAGAGGTTTGCCCAAATCATCAAACCTAGTCTCTCATAGTGATCGATTTTTTTTTTGGATATTTAACAAATAGCTGATCCCTTGTTCGAATATATCATAATTTCGTATGAACAGAACCAGAAATCCACTTTATCGTTATACAAAATAATCGTTTACGATCGTGGCGAATATTTAATGGACAGGGTAGACTTCTTACTGAATGGCCTCACATTCTTACATATCTTTGAAAAAGGCACTTTCACTAGTATCAAGTATAGGGATACAGTCTTAAAGAGCCCAATATTCACTTCTCAGAAGTTCAGTGAGCTATTTTATGTTATAATCGTCACTAAGCAACCAACCAAATTTTTTTGGGTTTACGAGTACTGAGTTTGTATCGACCCGCCATTGTGGGATTCGAACCCTATTCACCTCATTGGGATTCGAGCTCTCTATCCCCTGAGCCACCACGGCCACGATTTGTAAAATCAACTCAAAATTTAAGACGTTATTTAGGTCTTAGGGAAATTTAATATTAACTTCAATTTACACTTTTTTCGCCATAGGTCGGAAACTTTTTGCGTGATTCGAAAAATTGCACTGCCTACAACGACGTTAAAATGATTATCAGACGCTTTACGCAGAAAGTGAAGAAAAATCTCGCCAAGAGATCTTGAATGCGAAAACAGGCGCCATATAAACTAATGATTATGAGGTCACATGCACTCTGTCTTTTTTTTTCTTCGATAAAACCCTTAACGAAACCTTAAGCTTTCGGTCGAACCTCTTAACGTGGTTTGCGACCCTATTCTGTGGTCAAATTTTTATATATTCGATGCCTCTAAATTAATCAGTTAATTTCGGAACGCCTTATATCAATGTTTCAAAATTAAATAAGATAAAAATAAAAAAAATTCCAAGAGAGGTTTGTCTTAAAGTCCCTTTACAAAAGCTCTGTAATTGTTTTTGATTTAAATTCATTCTTGAGTTAAACTATGGTGGAGGGGGAAACTATGAGAAAAAGTGATTAAACCTAATTAACTTTTAATTGCATTTTCAAGCACTAAAATTGATTCTTAATGATGTTGAGGCTAACCTCAAACAGAAGCAGACAATTAATTAAAATATGAAATCCCACACAAAAAAAATTACTTTTTCCAGAATATCTTATTTTTAACAAAATCAGATTCTTAATTCTGAAATATGCATGGAGTTGTGCGTATTGTGAACCCAATATTTAGTAGAGAGAGAATGTTTGAGATTTTTATTGTTATTTTAACTTTTTACCATACATATAGAAATGATTGTGGGAATTCTCCCCATGTTTTGAAAACAATTATAAAAAAATCAGTTTTTTTTTAATTTAAAACAAAAGTTTTCTGAAATTTAAATTTCTTAGGAACTATTTTCCCTATTTTATTAAAATTTTAGATGATTTTTTTTCTGATTATTGATACAATAATCCAAAATTTTTTATACTTCATAATTCAGAACTATTAATACCATTTTTAAATTACAAAAGTTTTAAATTACTAAAATAATTTTTACGTAGAATCTGAGTTTATCATTATGCTCAAGGATTATCTTTTTATCAAATGATTTCGTGCATTACAATTTCCTAATTTGAACCAATTTAATAAGCTATCCCCTAAACCAATCGAAGTTCTGAAAAGTTTCAGAGCATTAAAATTTAAACGGAGCTTTATATTGTAAAAATGCGTGAGAAAATATGCTGCAATAGCGTTGAGGGAAAATTTAATCTGGTATAATATTGTAATATGTACCGATTTTTCATTTAGGTCTTACCTAAGTATTTGATACGTGAATTTTTATTTTACTGTAAACATTAGAAATTTTAAACTCATAGATACTGCAGTCAAACCTTAGAATGAAAAATAACTTGATTTTAAAAGCAATCATATTTCCTGTTTGATAGTTCTTTAAAAAAAGGCGCTTTAAGTTTTGCAAGCTGTAACTTATCAAATCACAAATTTTAGAATTAAGGATTATTTGCTAGAAGTAAGCAGATTTTTACATACTTTCAAATGAACAAAAATTCGTCGAAAAATTTATTTTCTACTTTTTATATTTTTGAAATCTAAACATTTGACTGAACATTTTAAAA